AATACTGGAAGATACTGGTGGCTGCTTGCTGCTTTCCTGTCCCCCTTCTCTCCCCGCCCCCCCCTTGGAGTGCCTCTGGATCCCCATCCGAAGTGCTACACCGAATAATACAAAACTCTTCCGACGTCTTGTAGCTCTGTATTGCAGATGTGCTATCGTGCAATAAATGGAACGCTGTCTGCTGAGAGACATAATTTATATCAAATAAACCTCATAATTTGTTCTCCGTGTATAAATAACTTGCCTCGAGCCAGGACGTGTTTCCTCCTTGGGGGATGTGGGGGGAGCAAACTCCTGCCAGTGGGAAGTGTTTCTGGAGGGGGTGTAAACCACACACCAGCCAAAAGTGAAGTGAACAGGCCTTTAATGTGAGCTTCCACGTACAAAATACTGTTCAGTATAAAGGCAGGACTGGAAAACTAGAGCTTCAAGTAAAAAAAAAAAAAACCCAAACTGCTCAAGTTCCGTGTGTTTAATTGGAAGTAGGGAATACAAAAGCGCTAAGTACGGAATCAGAGGAGGCTGCACGCTCCCCAGGTGTGTGCAACCCTGATAAAAAGACGATTGCTACGTTAAACCAGGCGTGTGTCCGGCCGAGGAGGCTCTGCTCCGGCCTCTCTCCGTGCCTGGAGCGTCCCGGCCGGGCGCAGGGCGGGCTGGCCTTAAACTGCCCAGGCTTCCCTGGGAGCCAGCAGCTCCGGCTCAGGGCATCCCAGGGAGTCCACAGGTGCTGGGGTGACGCTGGTGCTCAAGTGCTGCATCCTGCAGGGAGAGCAAAAGCCTCTGCAAAACCTGCCCCAGAGGCTCCCGGGAGCGGAAAAGCTCCTCCCGACTCCGGAGAGCCTTACCTTTCATCCCGGCGTGGGCAGCAGCAGAGCCGTTGAGCTGTTGTCCCTCCTTGGGCACACCTAGGAGAGAGGGAGGAGCGGGTGGAAAAGCAACCCCAAGGCGACCGCGCCGTACAACCAGCTTTCCTGGCTGGGTCTGACCCTCGGAGTGCGTGCCAGCGAGGCTCCGGCTGGCAAATTCACCTCTTTTTCCCATTTTTCTTACGGCGCGTTACTGAGGTCTCTTGTCTGTTAAAGGATCAGCTCAGGTTGTGCAGCACAAGGGTTGGTGAGACTGGGATGCCCTTTCCTGTCACTAGGGAGGGGATAAACTGCAGCTGCACGTGAAAAATAATGTTTGGATGTGTGGGAAGCAGCAGAGCTGTTTAAACTACAAGAACACAGAGTGATTTTGGGAAAAGTAAACCCCAAATTCAGCTACGTTTGCTTGCAGACAATTATTGTTTTGGGGAAAAAAAAAAAAAGCTTAAGGAATAATATAGCATAGAGAAGAGGGGCTGTTAACGCTGCCTACAGTCCAGAGGCCACGGTGACAGTCAAGAACCACGCTGTGTGTGACAGGATCCCCGAGTTAAGCGTGGAGACGGTGGGCAGTCTGGAACCCCCATACCTGTTCGACCCCGCAGGGCGATCTCGCTCGTCAGCCTCTCAAAGTACTCGGGCAAGTCCGTGTATTCATCTCCGTAGGAAATCACTTTGATCCCTTTGTCCAGCATGTTCTCACGGAGCTTCTTGAATTCATCCACGTCTCCCCTCCGTACCAGCATGAAGTGCTCCAGGTCTGACTTGTGCTTCACAGCCTCTAAAAACAGGGCCTGAAACGTGGTGTCATCAACAGTCCAACCACAGCCCAAGAACAGGAACGACTTATTTTCATACAGCTTCTGGATCTCTCGCTTTAAAAAAGGGAAAGATGTTCTCAGTCAAGGCAAGCTTTGTCCTCGCGAGGCGCATGAGACAGCACCTGCAGGAGCACCGTCACTCCACCGCTCTCAACACAAGCGTGGTGAGGTGTTTTGGCAACTTAGTAGGCCAAGGCATCCCTCCCCCCTCTGCTGTTTCACAAAATTATGGACTCTCCCAGTCTCTAAACTGGGCTGAATCTATGCCCTGTTAACACCTGTGCTGGCCAGGGAGGTGAGGGATGTACACACGCAACGTATGGGACCCCGAAGAGAGCAGGGAAGGGTCCCTCACCATGACCTCTGTGTTGCGCAGCACGTTCTGGTACCCGGCTGGGTGGAGCACGATGCCACTGGGGTTGGTGTAAACGCCGTGGATATGCAGGACGCTGAGCTTCCTCTTCTCCTGCGCCCACTCCAGCACCTGCCCAAAACGAACCCCTCCAGAAACGTTAGCCAGTGCGTCACGTTAGCCTCCTCCATCACTTTGGGGAAGTGTTTCAAAGGGGCAACTTCTTCCTCATCTGATCTCCTCAAGAGGTCGTTAAGTCCATCAGCCTCTACCTCACGGTCCAGAGCTACACCCTATGGCACTTGTTTGGGTCAACACTTCAGCTGCGCAGGAATGTGATGGGAAGAGACCAAATCCATACACTGGACTCAGCAGAAAATGGGGGAAAACTCTACAAATACTATGTCAGTGCATTTCTCAAGCCTACAAAGTTTTACTTCTTGGCCCCTCTAGGCTCCGAGAAGCTCCGAGGGAGCTCAACAGCTGACCTTCACTTCGGAAAGCTTCCGAGGCTCTCGGTTTACTCCTGCAGCCCTCAGCTCGTTTAAGCTTGCAATAATTAGAATGCTTATTTGTAACACTGTAAGCAGCCATGCAGATTAAGAGGTCACGCAGGAAAGGTGAAGCACAGAAACAACTCGGAACGGAAAGAGACCAAGCACCGACGTGTCACGCGTGGTTAACAAGCAAACAGAAGGCCATGACGCTCCCCACCGGCAAAACCAACAATGGAAAATGCCAGAAGTTTTAAGGACAGAGATCCAAGAAATACCAGGCTTAAGGGCTCCTCCTGAGCACTGGGTGCCAGCCAGCAAATGCAGCGTTTAGAAACGAGCGTTCATCCTCGTTCCTCTGCTCGCTGCCCCAAACGGCCAGACCCTCTGCTCAGAGGTCGTTGGACCTCAACTAAATCACTACAAACAGTGCAACCCCTTTACACGGGCACGAGGGCACATCCTGCCAGCGTCCTGCGTTGTCCCAGCTCAGCCCTGCCGAAAAAAAATCACCATCATTTACCTTCTTTTCATCAGTCAGGTCAAGAGACTCCAGATGCTTCCCCTGGTGCGCCGCGTACAGTTCCAGCAGGTTATCAAAGTTTGTGGTTAACACGAGTGCCCCGTTTTCCATTAAATGAAGCACGGACTGAAGCAGCTGCTTCCCAGAATCTTCCATTTTAGATTCCAGGTCATCGAACACCTCGTATAAACAGTCTTTGAAAAAGGTTGAGCGAACGTTGCTTGTGCGCTGAGAAGGGGAGACAGGTTAAGGTCAGAGCCCGGCTTCTTTCAACGCTTCACGCAATAAAAAACCACCCAGGTGTTTCTGGAGGACCTCCGCAGAGCTCCAGGTCCTGGCAGGGCAACCACAGAGCTCCCACTGCACTGAGGTGGACACTCCCAGCCAGCACCATCGGAGCAAAACAGCCAAAAGCTGCCGTCCACGGCGGAGTTGTGGCTCAGGAACCCGGCACAGTGACTGCACTGGTGGCTCCTGGGTGACAGAGGAATCCCTGGAGATGGGGCCACGCTGGAGACCCGAAGTTGGGTATTTCCAACAGCCATATCCTACGCTCGGGGTGGGGTACCGAATATTTACGCGCGGTGCTACGAGCACACTCACCGGAGACAGCTTCTGGATAAGGTCGTGGGCAACGTGAACCAAGTTCTTGTCTTCACAGAGACACTTTTGAAACCGTTTGCTCTCTTCATCTTCCAGGAGATCAAAGTCAATCGCAGCATCCAGGAGGGCCTGGATTAACCCCTTCCAAGACTTCAGCGCTGGGACCTGGGGAGCAACTGCTGCACTAATTCCCGTCCCGATCACCAAAACAAGCTCCCGAGGCTTCTTGGTTTTGAGGCTTGGCAGCAGCTTCCTGCAGGAGGAGAAAGCAGCACAGCTGGTAGCATCCTAGACGGAAGGATGTCTCGGGTCATGGAACACACAGGCCGAGGACAAGGGAGGTGTCCTCTGCCTAAATTGTCAATCAACGTGTCCATTGGGGTCCTCTGATAAACAGAGGACAGGAGGAGCGGCTCGGTATCCCTCAAAGACAGCGTGCAGCTCCACGGATCTACACCACAAAGATGAGAAGGTATGGGATTGCAATGTATTTGTTAACCCAGTCCATTTCTGAGATGGTTACTGGGCAAGTCAACAGTGCCCTGGGATACTTCTGAAGCAAAGCTAATCCAATGAAAATTTGGAATAAGGGAGGTCTTGTTAATAACAGCTACCTGGAAGCTAGGAGAGACACAGACGTACTCTTTACGTACCGAGACAACCACGTGAGGAGTAACCACAACCGTGCCAGGTTCACATGAAGTGCCAAGCGGGGGCCTGAAGACAGCAGCCCCGGTTATCCCAGCACAAAAGGAAGGAGGGAAAGGCTTCCTTCCAGCTCCGCCCTGGAGAGGACCTTCCCACCCACAGGTCCCTCTTTGCTGAGAAGACTGCTTGGCGGGACGTTGCTGTGCCAGAAATCCCTTCCCTGTTATGCTTGCAACGTCAGCGGGATGCTCAGGGCCAATCTTTGGGAAGCCCAGATGACACTAAGAGTCCCACGGAAGAGCTGTGTCACTATATTCTCCTTCCTCCTCCTCCCCTCTTCCTCATTTTCCTAGCTTTATAACCGTGCAGCGCTTTTAAAGTTGATGTTTAGGATTTATGAAGTTGATGTGCTTCTCCTCATCCATGCCAACCAGCTCCAGCTTCCCCACGGATGGAAGCAGCAGCCCAGGGAGGCAGCTCATGTGGAAGGAATGTTTTATATCTGCAAACACGTGGTATTTGGCGAGAAGGGGGAAGGAAACCGACACCACACAGATGGAGCTTTGCCTTCCCTCCGCTACTGCCTATGAAAACAGAGGAGTTAACCCTTTTCTCCAGGAGGTCTTCGCTGTTAGTGGCAATAAATGGGTTTTTATTTTGGGACTGCAAGCCTCCCATGCAAAGAATGAAGCCACAGCACCCACCCCGGGTGGAGGGACAAGTGGGTACACCCCAAGTCAGCGCCGTGCTCAGGTGCCCGCTCGGAGAACTGTGAGACAACCTACTTATTAGTATGGGGAGCTTGGAGCAGAATTATTTAGCCTTTGCAGGCAGCAAAACCGTACTAACTGGAGGAATTGCACATCCCAGGAACCGACATCCCACTCAAACGAAGAAGCACGACCACCACACCTGCCGTGACCCTACATGCAGACAGCTGAGCTAAAACCATGGAGGCAGTGCAGTAAAAACCAGCTTTCCGTGCAACCATGCATTCTGGCTTTGGGGTTAAAAAACACAAAAAAAAACCCCAAATAAAACAGTTGTGGGCATTAAGGCTTTTGTTCCATGGCTGCTGAGGCTCGGTGCCAAGTGTCACGCTCTTTAAAGAACAACACGGGGTCACGGAAAAAGCTCTTATTAGCAGCAATTCACTGGAGTGTAATTAAATTTACCTGGGCTTTTTGGCAGGTGGCATTCCATCTTCCAACACCGTTTCTTTGCCCAGGCTCAGCGCGGAAGCCATCCAGTTTCTACAGTGGACAAATCACCACAAGCAAAGTCACTCCAGACAGGCAATACGAGGCAGGACAGACCACAGCTTCCCACGGGCGGGCAAACACCGGGATTTGTTATCTGTCCAAGATCACCTCCGGGCCGAGAGCTGCTCTGAACTCTGCCCCACGGCTCCTGTCCACTTCCTTAACTTCCCTTAGAAGGAAGCTGGATAAAATCAGAGGGCTGTTTTGTACAAAACCGCTGTTTGCCAGACCATTCGTTTCACTTGGGCCGTTGCTTAACTTGAGAGCCCGTTATCTCGGAGCAGGTGCTCCCCCCTTTCCAAAGTGCTGCCTGTAACCAAACCTTCTGCTTGGGAAAACAGCGGGAGGAAAGAAAGACAAAAAGATTTTTGGTGGCTACAAAAAGCCATTTCATTCCCTGGGGAGAAGGATTATCCAGCCTGCCATCCGTCTGCAGGTGGTGGGATATGACATTAAAGCTCACGGAAAAGCAGTTGTATGCCTGAGAACTTGACAGCTCCCGACATAAAATCCAAAAGCTCTGCCAGCACACGGTCCTCTCCCACTCCGCCTCTCCAAAACAAGACTATTCAAAGGGAAAGAAAGCAGACAGAACTCTTCACCCTTATCTATTTCTTCTTGCCAGCCATAACAAAGAGTCCAGCAGAAATTCCAGGCTTTCGCCAAAAGGAAATGCTGTGTAAGAGCTGCTGGCCCAAAATCACATTTTTTTTTACAGTTTTCACAGCCTTAGAGTGTTTGTTCTCCAAGGGAGATGCCTGCAGTTGCTCCGCTGGGAGGTGGAACTTTTACAGGTACGAAACCTCAGCGGCGCTGCAAATGTTGTCAGGGATCGTTTAAGAAACCGCCCTAATAATCTGAGTCATTAATAATCAATAATAAGCAATGCTGGGTGATGGAAACCGGGCACGCCGACTCTCAGATACAGCCTGCTTGCCACTTCTAAAACTTTACAAAGGGCCCTTTCGAACATTGCACCACATTTTTCCAACCTGCTGGCGAGCCTGACAGCACTTGGATGCCGTTCCGACAACGAACCTCCGCAGACTCACGACTCCCCAGACGCCTGCAAGCACCAGGCCACGGGGAGAAGCATTCCAGGGAGTTGAATCGCCGTGAAAAACCACTTGCTCCAAAAGGTGTGTCACTCAGGGGGGCAGGAGGACCTGCTGGACACATGCTCAGCCAGGCAGTAACACCGAACTCGCCCCGAGTGAAGCCAGCCAAGCACAGTCAGGATGGAAAACATCGAGGGGGGAAAAAAAATTCTTTTTTTTTTCTTTCCAGTAGGGTTAGGATCTCTCATTTTGGATTAGCTGATCATTCTGCAAGAACAGGCTGCTCCACGAAGCCAGCCAAGTTTTCATTAACGGTGCAGAGACATTTTAGACAAGCCAGAGGCTAAAGCATGTAACCTTGGTTAGCTGGAATGTTTAGGAAGGAAGATTGTGAAAAGCAACATGCTGAAATCCTGCTGCTGTCCAGGTCTGCCCTCAACCCCCCCGAGGCAGCACACCTCACAGCCGAAGGTAAATACTTCCCCAGTTTCTCAACCGGCTTAGTTTATGGATACAATTTAAGTCTGTGTTAGCTTTAGGTTGCAAACTCTCAGCCACGTCTCAAACATCAAATGTGTTTATGAAGTCCTACCTAGGCCTTTCCCCCTTTGGCTTGTTCACCTGCCTGAGCACTGCTCCCATTTCGCTCGCCCTACACATCTGCATTGCTTTAAACACCAGAAACGGAGTCAGCAGTTCCCTTTTTGAGAGCCTCTAAAGCACTAAGGACATCCGAAAAGTCATTCTGAACTTAGGAAAAACCACCCTCTGTAATTATAGTTACCAAGAAATAGTTGTCTAATAGCATGAACTCCAGTCTTCATTTCTACTTAATGCAGATAGTCAAAAAGAAAAAAAACCACCAGAAATAATATCTAGTCGTCTTCTGTCTCAAAAAAAATGCTTATTTCTCTCAAGAACAAGTCTCAGAGATTCAGACAAAAAACATAAACCCCCAGATTTTAGCCCTGGGGAGAAGCTCTGCCCTCCAGGGGGACAGATGACGGCGGCACGGTTGAGGTAACCGAAATGAAATAACATTACCTCCAAGTGTGACACCGCTGCCGCGGGGACAAAAGCACCCAGGGCACTCCGCAGCACCCGGCCGTGCCGTGGGCACAGGTGCCGTGAGAAGAGGGAGCGATGGGCACTCACAAGAAGCGTCTCTGCAGCCTTCCTCCTCGAGACGTCGGGAACTTTCCAGCTATTTGGACTGCAGGGAGTGGGAGGGAGCGTAAACACCGAACTCCGCGGGTTCTTGGCTCGGCTGCGTGGTCTCTCATCACCCTTCTCAAGTTAATTTATCCGAAAGCCCTCGAGGTACAGATTTCAGCACGGAACCATTATCTTTAAACAATGCCCCAAGTCGCCAACACTGAACAAACCTAACCACAACAATCCCACGTGTACCATAAAGCAGACACACCCAGCTGCAAAACCACCTGAAATACAAAGATGTATCCCAGCTAAAACCAAACACCTGAACAAAGCAAATGCCAAATTAACGCTGAGGCTCACACTTGAGTGTGTATTTGCAAAAAGCTTGCCATAACTCTACGCAACACGCTGAACAGAACTCAGTCAGCGTCAAACCTCAGCCTGCAGAATCACCCTGGGAAATTAATGAGGTGTTTTCTCCACCGACTCATCACCAAAGGAGATGGGGAAGTCGCTGCGGATGCAGTGGGACTGGAGAGGGACTTTTTACACGGGCATGCAGTGGTAGGACAAGGGGCAATGGCTTTAAACTGAAAGAGGGAAGATTTAGATTGGATATAAGGAAGAAATTCTTCCCTCTGAGGGTGGTGAGGCAGTGGTACAGGTTGCCCAGAGAAGCTGTGGCTGCCCCATCCCTGGAAGTGTTCAAGGCCAGGTTGGATGGGGCTTTGGGCAACCTAGTGTAGTGGAGAGTGTCCCTGCCCATGGCAGGGGGGTTAGAACTAGATGATCTTTGAGGTCCCTTCCAACCCAAACCATTCCATGATTCTATGACGCCCTTTGACTGCCTCCAGGCTCAGCAGCTAACACACAAGTAAAGCTACACCTGCACGCCAGACCTGAATTGTTCAAAGTTTAAGCAAAGTCAAAACTGCATGTGCCCAGCTCAGCGCTCTGCAACAGCCCCCTCACATTATATAAAGAAGCAAGTACAAATTCATTGCTCATCCATTACTTTTTGAGTGCCTCAGACCAACACCAGTGAGGGTGTAATTCAGATCTCCTTTCTAACGTAAGTTACACCAAGATGGTGGGATAAGACAAACGTTTTGGTACAGCTTAAAACCCGCTATGTTTCTGCTAGAAGAATCTGGGAGGACGTTAATGAGTCGTCCCTGGCTGATTCCCAAGCTCCCAAGTTCCACGTGGGAGTCGCAATTGGAGCAGGCTTGTCAAAACTGTCCTAGAAAGGGACAGGCTTCGGACGGGGATCGGTGGCGCGAGGAAAACAAGCTCTGCTTCCATCCACACTGACGTTACGAACACGAGATTCAGCCTCCTCAGATGCGAGTTAAAACACATCAGAGGTTTTTTATTTAACGCCGCGGCTCTCCACGCGCTTCGGGCTCCCGCTGGCTTCGTGAAAAACGAGCGGGAGCGACACGGCGGAGCCCGGAGGAGATCCGTATCCCAACAAACTCACAGAGGAGTCGTCTGACAGGTGCCCCGACGTGGGCTCGCTGCGGTCTGATTTAAGGCCCAGCGGATGAGGCCGCGGGACGGCCCTCGAGCAGGCGATCCCGCACGCAGGGCCGGCTTTCCAAGAATGTTTTAGGAAAGCGAACCAGGCTAGGCATGCTGCCAGGAGGGTCCTCCCGCCTTCAGGGCTGTCCGGCACCTCGAGGCCTTACCTTTCCTCTCCGCTGCGCCCCCTCCTCGGCCCCTCTCACGCTAAACCTGCGGGAAAAGCAACAAGGCGGTAACTCAGCAGGTGGGGTGGAGGCTGAGGCTCTTTCTTGGGGCAAAAAACACCAAGAAAGTG